ACCCACACCCACACCCACACCCACACCCACACCCACACCCTTTACTATCTGATATTACCGGATTTAGCCACGAAAGAAAACCTTAAATTGAGTATATAACATGGATTACAGAGAAAACTGACTTTTAATCAAAAGTGCTTTACTTTTCTCAAGGGCCAAAATTGTGAGATAGCCTAGGTGGCAGAACTTGATATCCTCTATCACCAGTAGAAATATCAGAGCGATTGCTTGTTGCCGCATAAAATGCGACTGACCGACATTTTGCTGAAAAAACGACAAAATAGATTTTTTTAGGATATTTCCGAAGTTCTTATGGGATTGACGAAAACTTTTGAAATTTTGTACCTAGAAGGAGAGTACCTCAATAGTTATAGTTAGAAAAACCAGAACTCAAAAGTCTTAGATATTGAAATATAAAAGTCGCTTTTACTAAAAAACACCATCTCAAAATCGGTTAAAAAATCAATATTAAAAATTATCAAAAATTTTGTTAGTATTTCGATTGTTTGTATTGGAAAAGGTGATCCGATCGAGCTGAAAATTTCAGGAAATACTAAATTCACTACTCTCTATAACATATTGAAAAATCAGAGAATTCTGAAATGTCATTCTATCGTCGATGTCCTATAGTGTCTAATTTTCTCAGGCACTTGCTCTTAAGAAGTTTCTTTTTTTTTTATTGTATGATTTTAGGTACAGCAATGAATGTTCTTCGTTTTTCAATTCAATTGCGTACTGAAAAAAATCAAGTTATGCGTGAAGAACGTTTAAAACAAACACGAAGAACAATACAAATCGATTCTTGATGAGAATAATAATTCAATTGAAAATGAAACAACTATTGATCGTATGTTTCTTTTTTGTTTTCTTCTAATGAATAAAATATTAAAGAAAAATTTTTTAGAAAATGTTGAATCAACAATAAAATGTCGTCATCAATTTGAATCTGAAATGAATTTACTCAAAAGTGGTGTATCATATACATATTTGTCTGGTGAAAATTCTTTTTATGAAAATCGTTCATATGAATCAAGTGAACATCATTATATTAATATCGACAAAAGAAGATGCGAGCTTTTAATCCTGATTGATATAAAAATGAAAAATGACTTTAAGATACACCAGGAGTTATTTTACCTGAACAAGTGAAAATAAAAATTTTTATTTTTGTTAAATTTTAATTTATTATTTTTTCTTGTTTAAGATGATTAATAAATGTAGTAGTCGAAAAGAACTTTCATATTTTGATCATCAATCAACTGTTATTCGACTAGTAAATATTCTATTAGATATTGGAAAAACAATATTAATTGATGAAATTGTAAGAATTGATGTTAAACATGTTAGTTTATAGTTGTTATTCTTTTTTTCTTTGTTTAATAATTATTATTGTTTTTAGATTAGTAATAATGCTCGGACAAGCCCTTCGTTAATGACAACATCTCGTTTGCCAATTAATGTTATACAAACAAAAGATGTTGAACAATTTTATGAACAAACTTTTGAAAAGAATCAACTCGGAGTGGGTGATCTTTTATGATATGTATATATGAAAAGAAAAAAACTAAATTTTTCCAAAGGTTTCTCAAAATCGTATCAATAGTCGACTTTAAGATTCACCTCAACTTCGTAGACCTATAATTGAAATTCTTGGAATTGAAGAAGAAGCAGCTGCAGATATTATTTTATCAATTAATCAAATAAATAAGCAAAGTATTAATTAAAATTCATCTACTCATTTTGGATTACTCAAATCTTTTGTTTTGTCTTTGCTTGATTTTCCTTTCACATTTACTAATTATTCAGCGAATGAGTTTCACATTCTTTTATGTTTTTATTTATTGGCAAAAAGAAATATCAATAAAATATGATTTCGAAATATCTTCAATAATAATAATCATTTCTAAATAATTTAAATAACGTTTGTTCGATTTGTTGATCATGCCAATGAAATAAATATTTTCGTGAGAATTTTGACGAAGACTAATATCAAGATGATCAGATATTTAAGAGAGGGTCCGCCAGAAAACCAGATATAAAAAAGGGAGTTGGCTGTGGACAAAATTTTGATTTTGGATTTGATCTTCTCAAATGAAAGGCCTTTTAGAGTTAGTACTAAATCCAAAATATTAGCTTGATCTGACCATCCATTGCTGAGTTCTGAAGTACACTTCGATAACAGGGTAATAGGACCTAGCCAAAAAACTGTCATTTTTTCGTACTTTTAATATGGTACGAAAGTGTTCCATTATTTCGAAC